TTGACATGCAGTTTCATCAGTGTAATTTCTGAGGGCTCTGGCCATTATAATTATGTTGTAAGCGATATGTAGGATGGTGCTTTAACTATAAAGTACGTCTTCTTTTAATTCGTATTAATGTTGTACAACCCCGGGTGTTGTACGTGGGCGTATGTTAAGTTCTCAACAAACTAATAGAAGTTGGGAACGTCTATTTTTTTTTTTATCGGCTAATGATGAACAGATCGTCATCTTCCAAGGGGCTTTTTTACTCGCAGAAAGCCCAATACGTCTACGCTATGTGATTTCGAATTATGCAATCAGCCTCATAATTTATGTAATGGCATGGCAAAATTTTGAAAAGAACGTCGATGCAGTAGTGATAATGAATATGACAAAGGAGTCTGTTGACATATCTAATGATAGCACAGGTGAAGATGACTTGAGTAATGTGGATGAAGCAATAAATAGTTGATATGTTGGTGGCGGAGATTTTATTAGAACGTGGCAAAAAATTCAATTTTAATAAACAGAGCTAGAATCAAATGTAAATCGACCAGAATTACCTTGCCCTAATTGGGACCATTGTACCACCAATTACTATTCAATTTTCGTGTACCGAGAACGTCTTACCTGAAACAACAATCGTATATTATCATTTGTGTGACATTTAGTGCATCGTGTGACGACCTGACTGACATTCAATATCAATCGTCTCGTTCCGAGATACAATATCTTAAGCAAACATTAAGGAACATGGATAAGAAATGGCTAGATAAAATATGTGAAGACGGAATAATCAAGTGCTATTTAGAAAGTGAAATCTTAAACCGTACGTTTGTCGGCCACGGTGGGTTCGGAGTTGTGTACAAGGCACAGTTGAAGTATACGGACATAACCGTTGCAATGAAGATGTTATCTCTGAACACATATAGCGATGAGCAGGAATTGTACAAGAAGTTTGTCAAGGAGGTTTGCAATATTATTGTTATTACTATTGGCAGTCGTCACTTGGTGAACCACTATCTGAAATCAGAGAAAAAACTGATTCTGTACATTAGTTGAAAACTCATAAGAAAGTGGATGACCATCCAAATGTCATCCGATTTTTAGGACTATGCAAAGGTCAGTATACCAAGTCGAGTTTTAAATCATTATAGATCATGGGCTTATTTCTACTTTAAATATGGGTAGATGCTTCCCAAAATTACCACATGGTTTTTGAATTTGCTGATGGTGGAAATCTGTGTGCACATTTAGTAAGCCATTTTACTAATTTAACATGGAAAGAAAAGTGCACATTGGGTCTGGACATTGCAAATGGGTTGAGATATCTACATACACTTGATATTGTTCATAAAGATTTGGTAAGGTTAAGGTGTTATATTTTTGCATAGATTTGAATTACCATTATAATAATAATAATGCATGAAATTTCTTGTAGTCTTCTGCAAACATCCTTATTCAGGGGGGCATTGCAAAGATAACTGACTTTGGTTTATCCAGCATGCTAAAACAAACTGTATCTTCATCAAGAGGTGAAGGCAGTGCAGCATATGTTGATCCAGTAACTTTTGAAAATGAATCATATAAACGAGGAAAAAAGTCAGACATCTTCAGTCTTGGAGTAATATTGTGGGAAATATCTAGTGGGAAAAGTCCATGTGAAGGACGAATTCAAAGTTTTGAAATTGTTTTATATAGATTAAAAGGCTTAAGGGATTCCCCTTCTCCAGAAACACCACAAGAGTACATTGAATTATATTCCAAATGTTGGGACAATGATCCTAACAAAAGACCATTGAGTGAAGAAGTATATAAGCAATTAAAGTCTTTGCATGATGAGCCATTAATTTTGCATAAAAAGGTGAACTTGTGTCATTGTAATTTGAAAGATACAGAAGCAGCAGCTTTGGCAATAGCTCTAGAGTCAAATTCTTTTCCAATTTCTTTGGATCTTAGTCATAATCAGATTGGAGACATAGGAGCAGTGGCTTTGGCAAAGGCTCTAGAACTGAACTCTTCTCTGACTTCTTTGAATCTCAGTTGTAATCAGATTGGAGATGCAGGAGCAACAGCATTGGCAAAGGCTCTAGCATCAAATTCTTCTCTGACTTTTTTGAATCTTACTATGAATCAAATTGGAGCTACAGGAGCAACAGCTTTGGCAAAGGCCCTAGAGTTAAATTTCTCTCTGACTTCTTTGGATCTTCAGTATAATCAAATTGGGAATACAGGAGCAACAGCTTTGGCAGAGGCCCTAGCATCAAATTCTTCTCTGACTTCTTTAAATTTGAACAGTAATAAGATTGTGATTGGAGACACAGTAACAGGAGCAGCTCTGGCAAAGGCTTTAGAATCAAATTCATCTCTGGTTTCTTTACATTTAGGTTCTAACAAGATTGGAAATACAGGAGCAGCAGCTTTGGCAAAGGCTCTAGAATTAAATTCTTCCCTGACTTTTTTGGCTCTTAACTATAATCAGATTGAAGATGCAGGGGCAACAGCATTGGCAAAGGCTCTAGAATCAAATTCATTTCTGAGTTCTTTGGATTTTTATTCTAATCTGATTGGAGATGCAGGAGCAACTGCATTGGCAAAGGCTCTAGAATCAAATTCATCTCTGACTTCTTTGAATCTTTCCCCTTGATCAGATTGGAGATGCAGGAGTAACAGCATTAGCAAAAGCTCTAGCATCAAATTCTTCTCTGACTTCTTTGAATTTAAATCGTAACCAAATTGGAGAAACAGGAGCAGCAGCTTTGGCAAAAGCTCTAGAATCAAATTATTCTCTGATTTCTTTGGATCTTAGTGATAATCAGATTGGAAAGACAGGAATAATAGCTTTGGCAAAGGCTCTAGAATCAAATTCTTCTCTAACTTCTTTGAATCTTGATGATAGTCAGATTAGAAAAACAGGAGTAACAGCTTTTGCAAAGGCTCTAGCATCAAATTCTTCTCTGACTTCTTTGGATCTCTGGGATAATCAAATTGGAAATGGAGGAGCAGCAACTTTGGCAAAGGCTCTGGCATCAAATTTTTTTCTGGCCGATTTAAATTTAAATAACAATAATATTGGTGACACAGGAGCAGCAGCTTTGGCAAAGGCTCTAGCATCAAATTCTTCTCTGACTTGTTTGACTCTTAATAATAACCATATTAGAGAAGCAGGAGCAACAGCTTTGGCAAAGGCTCTGGAATCAAATTTTTCTCTAACTCATTTATTTCTATCTGACAATAAGATTGGAGACACAGGAGCAGTAGCTTTGGCAAAGGCTCTAGAATCAAATTCTTCTCTGACTTGTTTATGGGTTGGTGCTAATTATATTGGAGACACAGGAGCAGCAGCTTTGGCAAAGGTTCTAGCATCAAATTTTTCTTTGACCTCTTTAAAATTAAATAAGAATGACATTGGAGACTCAGGAGCAGCAACTTTGGCAAAAGCTCTAGAATCAAATTCTTTGACTTTTTTGGATCTTGGTGCTAATGAAATTAGAGATACAGGAGCAGCAGCTTTGGCAAAGGCTCTAGAATCAAATTCTTCTCTGACTTCCTTAGATTTGTGTTGTAATCATATTAGAGAAGCAGGAACAGTAGCTTTGGCAAAGGCTATAGAATCAAATTCTTCTTTGACTTTTTTAGATTTGAAGTGTAATGATATTGGAGAAGCAGGAGTAGAAGCTTTGGCAAAGGTCCTAGAATCAAAATATTTTTTGGTTTCTTTACATTTGAATAATAACCAGATTGGGGAAGCAGGAGCAGCAGCTTTGGCAAAGGCTCTAATTATCAAATTCTCTCTGCATCTTTCTAAGAATAAAATTAGGCAAGAAAATGCTCTGTTTAATTAAATTAAACAGCAGCAGCAGCTTTGGCAAAGGCTCTAAATGTCAAATTCTTTCTGCATCTTTCTAAGCATAAAATTAGGCTCTGATGAATAAACTTAAACTTCTATAAATCAAGTTAAAGTTACAGATACAGAACAACAGTTTTGGCACAGATATAATAGTAATTATAATTGTGAATGTGAAATATTGTGTTACTTAAACTAGAAGTAGCACAAATTATGAATATTTCAAATGTTCAATTCTTGATGCACAAATTCGTGACATGTATTATTATTGGACTTGAAATAACTACAATAATTGGAAATTAGTCATAAAAAGCAACCTCTGTATGAGGTTAGCCGAAATTCAGCTTCATGCTCGGATTATCAAACTCTTATTTTGAAATAAATATAATTAATTACGAAATTCAACCGTCTCTAATTATAATCCCTGAAAATTGACGATCGTGTTGTGTCAACTACTGTATACTGCGGGAGAGCGGTCAATAATCGATACTAGGAATTTAACTACTTTCGAACGGAGCGTGGCTTCTCCTACTTATAGTTTAGTTAAAATTAAACGTACAGTTAGTGACCTTTAAAATACTAGACTTTACACTCACGACGGCTCACTGCACCGAGCGATGTCGACATGACACTAGTTCTAGACAATTAATTGCCCTCAAGTCACTCATCGTTGAATTAATTCGATAGTCTCCCAGTTGGGGTACACTGTGTTTCACTTATAACAACAATAATGCGCATCAATATAACAACTAATTATCGTATTTGCTACTCAAATAATTACGGGACAAGTGGCGATTATTCTTAATTGATATAGGGATTAAGTGGTTTCACTATAATTTACCGGAATAAATACTCATTTATTAGAAACATTTACTATAAAAGAATAGAACACTTTGAACACTATAAGCAAGACGCACGGCGGACACCGAATCTAACTGAAATCCAAGCTTTTATATCTTTCGAAAGGACAGATTAATCTAATTTTAGTAACACTATTAATTATTTTAGCGGGTGACTTGAAATTTGAACTGGGCTCGTAATTTCAATTGTCTGCTTGGAGCTTTTTACTGAAAAGACATCATCACCGTCATCATTGGTGTTGTCATCATTGTTCGCCTGCAAATTTTTTTTTTTTTTTTTTTTTTTTTTTTTTTTTTTTTTTTTTTGTTTGTTAACCGGTGGTGAGAACAGCTGTGAGATTTGGAAAGCTTTTGCGAAAAGAGGATTGAATTTGAGCTGACGGAAAAAGATATCGTGCTGAATATTTTTGCTTCGATTATTTCCTTTTCCCTTTTTCCGGACTCTCCTTTGCAGCCTTGACATTTTCAGTTTACTATTGTTCTACTTCCCATGGCAGCTGCTTCCCGCGGCAGCAAGCAGTGTCACCATTTAATCCAATATTCTCTGTAACACCATCAAAGTTATGCAGAAATTAGGGAGGAATATACTGTACATCAGACATTGAATTTGCTCGAACAAAAAGATAAAATTTGAACGACGAAACCGTACATCCATAAAGTCTCCAGTCTCCCTCAACAAGTTAAACGCCAAAAGACTTTCATTGGCACAAAAATTTCTCATTTCAAGCAGGATCGTCTACTAGTATTCAAACCGTGTCAAAGTATTAAATACTATTACTACACTTCTTCCACGAATAATCAACACAGATATACGTGTATATGGTGTTCATATCAGTGTTTTTCGCTTCTACCCTGACAGCAAATCTTAATCTTTTCTACTTTTCATCAAGTTATTTTCACTAATTGTACATAATAATTATGTCTCAAATTAAATACAGTATATTTATCTCAACTAATAAAGTAATTGTACAATCAATATTTTGTTGACTATCTATCTATTGTTTGTGACGTGCGTTATATCAAGCTAATTTAGCCTCCAAACGTACTGCTGGAACCATGATGCTAATCTGGTACCAGGAGCTTTCTAATGTTGTTAAATCATAATATCACTTCAAGTGATATATTGCCATTTTGGAACAGTCAAATCTCTTCTTTGAATACAGGTTTCAGACGCTGTTCTCTTTTCTCATTAGTAAGAAGAAGTTTCCGAGCCGGAACAAATTTTTATTTTAAATGATATGTCTTCAATTGTTCGGTGGTGACGACCACAGTATTGTTTTGTCGACAAAAGTTTTCGACAGCAGATATTTATCTTTATTCTTAACAACACTTTGATACCAGCTTGAGACAAACAACAGGATTGTTTTTGTTACCGTTGTCAATCCTAGATCTAAAATGTGACATATTCCTCTATGATTTCCGCTCAGTGGTACCTCCGGCCTGGAAAACGCTTTCTCGATTAGCGGTTAATAAGTTTGATCTTGCTCATCGAACTTAAGCACTAGTATTTATTATTATTCAATTGTTTGAAACGCGTTTCCTATTTGAAAACTTACCCAACCGATAGACTTTCGAGAGATTACTAATTGGATAGAGTTAGATAGTAGGAATAGCTTAAGGTTCCGCCACCGGAAGACTAAGGTTGTTATACGAACGCTCTCCCACGTGTGTCGATCCGACGACACTGTACTTTTCAAATAGTAAGAGAGATGGGTACTCTATGAACTTTGATTTTGGATATCGATCTGCTGTTTTAATAATTTCATCCCGTTTAAGTGATATATTCTTTGAATCAGGATAGAAGGTGTTTGGAATCTTAAAGACATAATTATTACAATTTTATAAATTTTGCAGGTAATTATAATGTATAAGCATTAACTCTGATTACAAGAGGGGCGTTCCGATGGATGGTAATTTTAACAGAATAACCGCCAAAAAAACCTCCTCCAGCAAAAAATTCTATGTTCTTTATAAACAGTTTGTAAACCTCACTTTTTCGTATAGACCAATAGTGTTTTCACAATTTTCGTGCATGTGATCCGAGTCATTTTGTCTGGATTTTGTTTATGATATATGATACATAATAATAAACTGCTGTTGGATGATTCTTTATTTAGCAGATTTTGTTTTGAGTATCTTGGGATGTTAAGTGTTGATGCTGTATCTATCGTGTCATGGTAGCTATTATTTATAATGGGTGTTAAATAGATAGTAACGGTCTATGGAGTGGGGCAAATAGATCAATTACTCTTCAATTATTTGGGACTGCCACCATCCTTAAACGACAGATGTCACTACGTAGAAGAAAGGTAGTGCAGAGGTCGTCAAAAAACCAAATCCCTATCAGGAGATCGAAAAATACAGTATATTATCTGTTATACGCAATTGAAAAGTCAGTCGTAGGTAACTTGAATTAAGCTTATATAATATCTTTTTTTTAATCAAGCAAAAGATATCAATCAAGTTATCGAAGGTTACCTTAACATAAGATAAACTAATTGAGATTGATGAAATCGTTTGAACTTACGAATATGAACCCTACCAGCAAGGATCAATCTCTTCTCCCATCGGTATCCTATTTACTGGTCGAAGAACAGTTAGACTTGCTAATAACAATGATTATTCTGACGCAAATAATACACCTGTTGCATCAACAAATAATGTAATTATGTATTAATTTAATAAAGTGAAATATTAACTGAGCGGTCAAGTAATCGATACTATTTTTAATCCCGGACATGTCAATACAATCAAGTGTTTACTTACTTATTCGAACAATTTTGAAGCATGCGAAAGGTTAAACCAATGTTGGTACAAAAGATACCAGTACAGTAAGTAGAAACGTTGACTTGGACGACGAAAATGTAGGATTCCAGTTAGACAGAACATTATTATTGCGAAAGGTTTTTCGTGTCTATAAAATGTTTCGAGATTAAAAAGCGTACTATGGAGTCGAGGTCATGGTTGCTGTTATTACAGAGCAGTATAATCAATCGAATTGCCGTTGTAAGTCTTGCAGAATAGTGTAACAAAAAACACGTGATATATCCGGCTATGCAAAAAAGGCGCATAAAGTTTTAGATGTTGGCCTCCACTATGACAAATGAACAGCGTAACAAGTTTGGAATTGTACTGCTCGAAAAAGTTATGAATAGATCTATTCGCTAGGGAGTTTATTGTTCCAATTCTTTTTCGTTAGTGAACAATAACGTCATATGAATAAGCATTTATCCATATACTTTCTTTCATCGACAGAGTAATTAAGTCGCCAGGGCCGACTATGCGTTAATCTCAAGTGAAACCTTTCATATCTCGCCGTTACTTTCTGAAGCGCGGCATATAAATTATCATCGTTATCGTTATTATTTATTTTGTAATTGCTGAATGTATCTAACAATGAGCTTATGGTCGTTCATACCAAAGATAATGAATGGTTATAGAACAAATCCACGACACTGTACAAGTAATTAAAATTAACGTTAAAGTAGGATATCAAAAGATAAATAAACTTGCTCTATCCTTTTAACATGAGCATACTAAAAGTATGTCTGTCAAATAAAAAGTTTTTCTACTATACTAACTACTGTTAAACTATTATTTTACTTCAATAAAGGTTTGCATTATAAGCAAAATTTGTTAGGATAAATAATTCAGTTCCATAATTAAACCCGTTAGTCTGTAATTCGAAATATTCTTCGCATTTAAACCAAATTTTTGGTAATACATATACCGAGCGATGGAAAATAAATAGATGCTGCAAAACGACAAACAAGCTTTGAATCTTTTTGTGTTAGTTTAAACAAAGAGGAGGTAATGGTATGGTAGAACGTAGTGAAACTTTGGTAGAATTACGTCAAACTCTTTCCAATAGCAGACGTATCTAATTTTGTATTACATGCATGCCTGATGTGCAGAGTAATTTGAATCTTTATCACCACAAGACTAATGAGGCATTACGATTATTATTTTTATACTAATATACCAGTGTGTTCATCAAGTTAATCTTTTTTCGGAAACAGTTTATTCATTACGGAAGATGCTTGTAATAATACAGATTGACAAAAGTGTCGGTTGTTTAGTAAGACGTTGGGAAAACATATACGATTGCAACAATTTCTAAAATGTTTAATATGTTAGTTTGGTAATTAAAAGTGTACTGTATAAGCAACGGTTAATTCGCCAACACACTTGATAATTTTGTTGTGGAGATAAGATCAATTAATTCAATAAATATAAAATACGTTTTTATCACAACATTATGTATTATTACAGTATTACTATATGTTGTCGAAAACTTTAGCTCTTACAATAATTATTCAATTAATCTAATCAGTTACGCGTTTATTGTCTATAATTAGTAACATAAATGTATATTCTAAAATATTGCTTTCGAATAATCGTGCAGTAAGTTCGGGGAGTTTACGGACGGCAAATAGAATAATACAGTCAATTTGTAGTATCTTTACGACGCACTTGAAAGTTGGAAGACGACTAATAATTTAACGTAACTCTAGGAAACGTTAACAGCGTTATATAATATGATTGAACCATATACCAATTTTATCAACGGTGAGTCTATAAAGCAATGTAACTTATTAATGAAATATAGATCAATATTAAATAATAGATACGGAGTCTTTGACCTAATAAGAACATTTTAAAATTAATTTATATTTGTGTGTTGTGTGTAAAAAAAATACCAAAAGTAAATTTATTATCACATAAAAGACATGCGTATTTGTCAATATTGACAGAGTGTGGTAAAATATAATAAGTATATTTATGCCGCATGAGACTAAAATAACTAATCTGTATTGCCTATCTAAACAATAACGTAACGAAGCAGCTTACTAATAAATTTAATGTAGCAAAACATGTTGCATTGAAAACGTTGAATTAGAAAAATAAGACAATAATATTGCGTGCCGTAATTAGCAGTGAACAAAAACCCTGTTCTGAATAACTCTAACAAAATACGTAACTCCTTGTTATTAATAGTAAATGCGAACAGTTAATTGACAAGTTATGAGAATCTGCTGCCAAAATTATTTTGTCGGCTGTATGACTAATTTTGGGGATTGTACTAAAATTAATGGTATGTAATCAAATTGTAACAAAAATTATTATGTACGTACGTAACATCCCAAAGTTACTGTGAAAACAAGACAGTGATCCAAAACATACGAGTTGTCTTGCCAAGAAGTTTTTGCTCCAGAAATTATGGACTAACCTTTCAACAGTCTAGATACAAAGCTAATACAAAATTTTTTAAAACATGTGGTTTATGTAAAATATATTACTGAAATGCTCATAATCTTACATAAGAGTAAAAATCTAAACCCTTATTATTGGCGTGTACTACTTAGCTGCATTGATCTGTGTATCTTCCTTTTTACTTTAATTTCAAAGTAACTAGAGGTGTGTAATGTGGCCTGCCCGATTCGTCGGTCGGCTTTAGCCTAATCTTGGAATCGGTGCGGGAGAACTCATCACAAGAGAAATTTTGTGTTCGATAAAAGCAAATCTATGCTTTGCATAAGGGTGATACAATTCTGGTTTTAATGATTCTAACCAACGTTTACAATAATCCATGCTGTTTTTTGGTAGATTAAAGTATATTATTCAAATGCTTACGATGATGTTAATTATACTAACGTTCTTAATTTTTGCAAACGTATTGGAATTTAAATCGGAATTAATTTACTTTTTTTTTAATATTGAATATATTATATAATAAGTTCTCTTTTACCATAACGCGCGAAAACGGACAGATTGTAACAGTAAACATGAAGATAGTAATACCGTAATACGTGGTAATTATATATTGATTAATGACATATGGAAGTTAATCGTAACGATAAGGGCAATACAATAAATAAGTACAAAGACTTAATTGTGTACAGTATGCATGTTATATTTCTGGAATGGTCTCCCATGTTCGAAGACTCACTAATAATTTCTATGCTTTAATCCCGGGTAAATGCACAAACTTTTACGAAATCATTCTCTATACTAGATAATAAAACTATAATTTCTTCGTTTGTGCTGTTCAACAACAATATTTCTTTCTTTAAGACATTTTTCAATAATAACGAGTTTCCCATGTTCGTCTTCCACAATTTTATAATACCGTCCGGCATATTGCAAGGAGAACACTTATTAGCTTCTAGTTAAGTGATAATAATATCGAAATACTTCACGTTTGTGGATATTTATACCTAAACTGAGGTTTTATGATAAGCTAATAATTGAAAACGTTAAGTTGAAGCTTTAAAAGCTCTATTACACGTAACGTTAAACTGGATGACTTGTATGGAAAATCGAATACGCTAACATTATGTGATAACGTTGAATTGAACGAAACAATAAAATATTGGATTTATCTAGATGAAATGGGCACTAAACAAAACTGGCACCTCAGAAGACACATGCTAAAATGTTTGTTATTATTATAGAGAATGTATTTACTTTTGCAAAGCTCAAATTATCTTTTTATTATCTATTCTAATAGAATAAGTTGAAATCATCAATAAACCACATTTTTTTGTTAAAATGACAAGTAGATCGTGGTGCAGTGGTTTGTAATAAGTGCATGGTGAGAGTGTAAGTTTTTATATTATTATACCAATTAGTGCTACACGCTGATATTATATTGCATTGTTATCGATATCATTGTTACGGCTCATGGAACAATCTCGAAACGGGCTAAACTCCCAGAATGTACCAGAACATCATCACTATCATAGAGATCATGTGTCTTATCGAACTTATTAGCCAATGAAAAATATTTTACTGTGTGTGCTCGCTGATTCTATTGTTGTTATTTACGAAAAAGATCATGATGATGTAATGATATGTTACACTAGGCAATATATTGATGTCCGTTTATGCTTTACTATCGGTTGACAGTCACAGACTCTTACACTTCTTACTGCATAGGTAACAATTTTATACTTACAAGGACAGTATGACAGCAATTGATAATATCAAGATCTTCCGTCATCTAATACGCGAACACTCGTCTCGTCTACACTTATATAATATATATAGCCAGATGTCATGTTAGTGCTACTCACACAGACGCTTTATTATCACTATCATAATAATTAAATTTATACGCATGACTTGTCGGACTTGCCAACCGGTAAAAATATTTTACCGCGACTGTCACGATGTAAATAAGAACAATAGTATCAGTGTATCATTCCGGAACACACGCGATATGATGTAATGATGTTACACAAGGCAATATATCGATACCCGCTTATACTTTGCTATTGTGGCTGACTCACACTCCTTACTGCATAAATCACGACAATATTTATACATATAAGATCGCGCACGACAACAATATCAAGTATCATCTTCCGTCATTTAACATGTGAACATATATAATATATACCCTGTCGCTCTTCTCCATATCATAGCACGTGTATCGCTTCACAATGACCTCTCTTCCTCCAAAGTACAAATACAACACTTTGTACTCTATATTACGCACACATACGACAGTTTGCTATACGAAGAGCGCCTTTTACTGCTACTCCACTCCATATTACACACACACAACAACGAAGAACGCCCTTTCTGCTACTCCAAAACGAAGAACGCCTTTTGCTGCTACTCCATATTACACACATACGACAGTTTGCCGCAACAAAGGACGCCTTTGGCTGCTGCTCCACTCCATATTATGCACATACGACGGTTTACCACAACGAACGAAGTTTGCTGCTACTCCATATTACACACATACGACAGTTTACTACAACAAAGAGCGCTTTATTGACAATTTGCCACAACGAAGAACGCCCTTTGCTGCTACTATTTGTCACAACAAAGAACGCCTTTTGCTGCCCTACTACTCCATACGACAGTTGCCACAACTCACAAACAAGACCTCAAACAATAAACGCTTTTATCGACCACATAACGGCAAAAGAAAATACTAACGTGCGGCACACGACTACACAACGCACACGAATAGATTTAGGGTAATAATGTGATAACGAAAGTTGTTATTGTACATTTGTTAATTTATTCACATACCAACAAAAGATCTTTTCGCCTTCATAAATAGCCAAACTAACTATTATAATATCTATTATACGCTTAGAAGTTACATACGAGTTGCTTCAAAAAGTATTCCGGCACGACACATGATCTCGTTCTTCCTGCTACTTCAAAACTCGCTCACAACTCGCTCTATACTCGGATTGTTTGACTGTATAACAAAAGAGCTATGCTTATTACTTCGTCGACATTCTAATCGCCGTGACAGCACTGCGATCTCAACTGGTAAGAAAAATTCCCATCCTCATATAGGGAATGCAGAACTCATTTTACGGTTTACTATAAAAATTTGTTACAAACTTCGCTAATATGTGATATCTTGCAGAAAATGTGACAACTCAATGAATATGTAAAATGAACGAAATGGAATTTCAACTACGCGTGTAAGTGTGGAGAGTAGAGAATACAAAAATGTTTCATGGGTATTGCCAACTATCAAAATTTCTCCTCAGAAATCCTCGCGTGATTCTCCAAAGGTGGGTGTGTGCTATTGATATTAAAGTTTAGATTAGATTAATTAAATGAGGATATCTCTGCAATGACATAATACAATGCTCGGCTTTCTGGAGAGTAATGTATTGCCTTCATTTCAGCTCCGTGTGGTCGGTCTGCAATGTAAAGTGGGTATTTCTCTACTTTTTCTGCTTGCAAAGCCTCTGTATTGTACGTACATATTGCAATGCGAGTGGTTGGGGTTAGGATTAGTACTTTGCTCTATGTTGTCGGTTGGCTTCATCATATCGAGTGACTGTTGTTGTTACCCTTCACGTCAGTTTTTTCTGTAGTTATGCAGTCGTCTGCAATGTAAGCTTGGTATTTTCTCTAATTTTCTGCTTTGCAGAGTCTCTGTGTTGTACGCACATATTGCGATACGGGCAGTTGGGTTAGGGTTAGTACTTTGATATATGTTGTCAGTTGACTTTCTTCTATCGAATGACGTTGATAAGATTGCATGATTTGCATGTTTTTAACTATTTTAGTCTGCATAGACTAAACTAGTTGACTGTCTGATTGAATTTATTATATTATTTTGGGGTAACTTGCTATTATAAGTAATTAGTAATAACTTCTCCTTGTCTCTACGATATTATTTAGGAAAAACCCTGGGAGACCAAAGTTACTTGTCCTCGGCATGACGGTAAACTGCCGGGTAAGTATTATATATCTATAGCGGCGAGTATTCCACGA